CCCCACACTTGAGAGCTATTGAGCATCTATGAATTCATAAGATGACAACCAGGAGGAGCACACCAAGTGTCTGAACCAGGATAGCGAGACTGATCAAGAGCCTGAGCCCATACGATTTGCATGAAATGTGCAGTTAAACGTGATACAACCAGTAGAAACGTACCTTTGGGTATGAGCAACAACAGTTATAAGTGCGAGCACCATTCCAGTAACAAGACCTGTGATGATATCCCAGAAAATAGTGACTACAGCCGTAACAACCCAAACAACCTGAAAAGCATGTTTAGAAGACAATTCAGAATTAAAGAGGCAAAGTTTGGCATAGATAGCTCTTGGTATGGCTCCCTCCCAGCACAAAATGTTATTCAGTCTTGCTCTCGGACGCTATGGGCTGCCACGGAGGCTGATTCTGACGTGGCGCCAGCCGCTTTCCACCAATTTTGATCGCTTATCAGCTCCCAACCCACCTCCCTACTCTTTTGTGTACGCTTGCTATCTAGGTCTCCACCGCCTGTGCCCGAAATGGCAGCTTTCACAAAAACGCAGCCGCATCCGCGCTACACTTGAGCGCCTGGCATGCCCCTCCCAGGGCACGTGATATAGGCTATGACAATCCCGTTGGCACTAAAGGAAAACTTCAAATGTAAAAGACTAACCACATCCGACTTGGAGAACCTCCACAGATATTTCAGTTCAGTGATCCTCGATAGCAATGGAGGACAGGGCTACGACAACTATCGAACTCAGCACGCACGTTGGTAGATCATGAAGTAACGGACCAATCACAAAAATTACACATAGCATCGCACATGATGCTACCAACCCAGATACCTTGAACATGAAAAGAAACTCGGAAGGTGTAATTCACAGTGCTCGGATATAAAAGCGGAATCGAATACCATATACACTCCTTATCCCTGAGCAGGAGTAGGCGCGGCGTTTAGCTGAAGTCCGTAGCTACGCCTACCACATCTCAGGGATTTGGAGTGTAGTCTTGTTCGCTACGGATGCCGGGGCTTGTCAGGCGGGGGGGAAGCTGAATTTGGCATGCTGTCAGCCATTTCTCCACAAACTGTTGAAGAGGACACACAACAACTGATGGAAATTGGTGGAAATGCGGTCGGGGCCAAGTCAATGCAGCCCCCTTATACGCCCAGCATTTGCAGCGAACAATACTACGTCCGTTCGGAACCCCTTCAAAACGTAGCACTCGTGAAGAAATCCGAACACCCGTAGTATTCGGGGTTCCACAGCCAAATTATGGATCGTCACTTCCAAGACAAATGGCTGAATTCGAGCATGATGGTCCCCACCTGAATTCAAATAATCGATCTTGCATAGTTCTAACCTGCGTACGAGCTCCGGCCCTTTCGTTGACGAGGCTTCTTGACAGTGAAGTGGACGTAGGAAATACCAAGAAAAACGACGAAATGGTTCCAGCGATTCCAAGGGCCAGCATTTCCTGATTATGCAAATCAAAATGAGTATTCACGCTTCTCTGAGGACGCAGGGGCGATTTAGGAAAACATGGTTTAGCGCGGCGTCAGCCCGCTGTCTAACGATTGTGATCGCCTGCCAACTTCCAAAACTGATGAAGAACAGGCTACCACAGCGCCAAACCCAGCCCCTGAAAAACCGCGGTGACTGTATTCACCTGCGCCTTCACCCCTCGTTAGATCCAGGAGTGCTGCACATAGCTACGCTTAACTCCTTGGCAACTGATTTTATACCTGATCTGGGTCGATGTGGTACTTGTGTTTTCGAGCAAATAGTTTTCCCATGGATACAGTAACGGCATAGGAAACAACAGCAATACTAATTGCTGGAACTATGAGGCGCTCAATCAAGACTCGTTCAAAGCGCGGTATCCGTGGAGCTGGCAACCTGAATAGCTGAATTTCTACCCAAATACGAATCGAAACTTGAGAAAGAGGAATTCATTATGAGAAAGAGAAGTAACAGGCTGACCCAGCTGGGACCATCGCCGACGATGGTTACGCCGAAACGGTCATGAAGATTAACAAGTGCTGATGCTGTAGTTACGAACCATGAGCTGAAAGTGGAAAAAGTATTAGCTAGCAGTATCTCAGCTGGAAACCTGAAGGTTTTAGCTAGGGATAGAGTACGGGGCAGAGGCTCTGTCCAAATGCCGTACGATAGCTTGGAGATACCAGTAGAGAGGGCATTAGCATCGTTGGCTGAAACACAAGGGGGGGGGGTTCGTACTTTTCCGCTGGGGAGGCCGCGGTCGTATTTGGGGTAAGACAAATTTATTTTGATAGTTGATTTTTTCTTGTGGAAAAAGGGGGGTCGTATTAATTCGTATTAATTTTTTGTGTTATATGCACCCTGTACACCCGCCGGATATACGTTGCATAGTTATTGTATACCCCCCGCTCGACGACTTTTTCGCCGACTATATACTCATCGCTCGTCAGTCGGCGAAAGAGCCGGTCGAGCTGAGGGGGGGGGTCGTACCAACGGGGAAAAAAAAGGGGGGGGGGTCGTGGCGCGGACCCCATTCGGAGGGGGGGGTCGTACTCACACCGACATTTCGCCTATCCCTATGCTGTACCCTGCCAGTAGATGCCGTACAATGATGTCTTCTAAGTTACTAAGGTGCAGTGGGAGAGTGCTAGGCGGGTTTTCGGGGACAGGGTACGGCGTAGGGATGGGACAAATGATAGTGCCAGAAGACCTGCCCAAATTTCTTCCTCTGGGAATTTCCCTTCCTTACATCCTACTCACGACCTTCCTGATTCTTCCAAACTTCCTACCACTTTTCCCGAAAAATTACTACTTTCCCCCAAAAAGCTGAGGTCGAGTGAGCAGTGTGGGGTCTAGGTGGCGCGAAGCAAACTTAAACCGGAATGTGGAAAGCCAACAACCAGAAGAAGTTTCCTTCGCTATTTTGAAAAATTCTTGTCAAGAAGGGTTACGGCATCTATAGACCCAAGACGGCCCCCCCCACCGACCAACTACGAATCTCCTGATGGAATTCTCCCAGTGTTGCTGCACCCTGACTCGGGATCCCAGAACCTGTGCATAATGTGCGCCTAGAATCCGTGAGGGCACTGCTTACTGCTTCTCGTACTTTCTCTGGTCAATTGGAGACAGGGCAGGTTATGGTATGTTAGGGATCCCCCACGAGGACCGTATTTGGTCGCTGGAGGGAGGAGAGTTCGCATTTGTTTCCGAGGGAAAATGTTTATATTTCGCCGTGCTTCAAATGCTCCATGTACCCTCCCCTCTCCCTCGCTCAACGGCAATAGTCAAAGAAACAGGAAGAAATTTGGAAAAGTGGTACGAAGTGATTAGGAAGGGGGTCGTGTCGAAAGGGAGGAATTTTCATGTTTTAGGGGCCGCTGAAAATGTTATCCGAATGACAGGACGTGGAGGACCTGAGAAAACGATGGCACATGCTCGCTGGATTTTTACTGGGTCATATGACTAGAAACGAAACCCTTTTTCACAAGGATCTCACTCACAACAAGAAGTTCGGCTGGAAGTGAAATTCTCTTTCTTCTTAAGTGAGGTTCGACGAGTTCCTTATACAGAAGGAGGAATACGATTGTCGAAATGGATATGGCTAAGGTAACGAGGTTCGTGTCCGGTACTCTTTCCGCTATCGCCAACCATTCCTTAAAAAATATTCACTTCGAAATTTTTCAGCAAATGACAAAACTAGCACGTCCCGTGTAGTGCATTAAATAAGCTTCAATGGCTTCCAATGCTGTATAAAAAGAGAGAACCTCAAAGAGTTGAAGGAAACCCTCGGTGGTGCCTTCCAGGTGGATCCCAAGCAATCCTTTGATCTGAGCCGTCAAAGCGTGTATTGCGGCACCAAACGTCAGCCCGGTCACAGCCGAATCGGTCAAATACGTTGAGAAAAACGACAGGCGCAGGACCCAAATTACTAGCTGCAACTTTCAAATTAGAGCATTCATACGATAGTTCCAACATTTTAAATCACAGATTTAGCGCTCCAACCCGGTCATTTGACGAGTTTCGGCGGTGCGGGTGAGAGCCTTTCGAGTGGTGATTAGGAACAACGCGCCAATCACGTGGCTCTCCTGCACACTGCATTGCTCTACCAGAAAGTCCATGTTAATGGAATTCACTAACGATTTCATTGTTGTTAACTGAGGATGCTGGGGTGTGTCAGGCAAGGAGGTGGGGCGCGGAGGTGTTGCTACGCAAAACTCAGCTCCTTGACACGCCCCGGCTTTCACAGCAAACATGATCGTATGCCTCTGTGAAATGACCAGGACACAGACCACATGCTCATCGTGTTGGCTTCCCAAGTTCATACATTGGTATGCCTGCACCGTGTAATTGATTGGCTAAGCAAACCTGTACAATACCCGTCAGGAAAGCAAGTAGCACAATGACATCGACCGGCGTTAGGTCGGTAACTCCTAAAAGAGTACTGCACCGGAAACAATGAACTCTCATGGCCATAGTGATGTTCACCTCGGTACTCAATAGCAGTACCATTGACGTCATTTGGCAAGATTGACAAGCCTAGCCTGTCCGGTCATAATACATGTCAGCGAGAACACACCTGCACGAATACA